TGACAACCTGGAAATGAGGTCACCTACTGCAGCTTTAAGGTCGGTGTACTTTGCAGAGAACAGATTTTGGTTTTGAAACGAGAAATCCAAAATAGGGAAACAAGACGTTTTACAGTTTTTAAATCAGAAAACAAAAAAAAACCTGTTTTTTGTTTTGAACAAAAAAAAGTTAAGCTGACCCGTTGTGTTCCCTATATTTATAAATGGTAGTCAGAAAACAGCTTGTTCCGGATTTTACTTTTCTCATTTCAAAACGAATATCTGTTCCCTGCAAAGTACACCAACCCTTTAAAAAAAGGACGCCTTCAGGTTTTGGGCAACAATATCTGTTTAAATGTACGTCACTTAAACAGCAGTCACGTCTCAACAGGATGTTCATTTGTGATCTGTTATAGACTAGAAGTTGACCTTTTCACCATAAATAAATCCATCTATAATACTTTGCCAGCTAACTCGAGTATCAGGTCAGCCACGTTATCTAAGAAATAATAGCATCAATAATAGCTAACTGATAGCTGCACGTTAGCATTGCTTTAGATGTTAGCTAGAAATCAAAACCCCCAAAAAACTACATTTCAGATTCTAACATATTTCTCAAAAGTGTTTAGCAGATTAGCTACCTGCTACTTTTATGAAGAAGTCGTAGCACTTGTGTATTGTTTGAAAGTGTTTTGTAACAAATAGGAAAGAAATACGCAATTTACTGCTAATTTACAAAGGACTGATGCAACTAGCAACAAAACTAGGGTGTGCAGGAGCAATTTAGTAGTTAATTCGAGTATCAGGTCAGAGAGGCAATTTTATCTAAGAAGAAATATCATTAATTATTAATAGCTAAGCTAACTGATAGCTGCATGTTAAGATTGCTTTAGCTGTTAGCTTTCAAACAAATTAGAGGAACTTTCTTGGGAAACATTATCAGCTGGCTTTTTATGAGGTCTTCCTCCATGGTGAGAGAGATTCAGAGAACCATGGTTATGTAAATAACCCCATGGTTCTGTTTACTCAGGGATAAAAAGGATTAGTTGGGGGATATAACTCTCAATGAGACCATAATGGCAATCAACACACACAATTTCACATGGTCCAACGTTTAACCATGCCGTGCTTTACCATGCTGTGTGTCACTAGTTAAACAGTGCTTCACCTAAAAAATAGGCCAAATTATTAACCTGCCATTCGAAGGTTAATGTTTGACATTATCTGCTGTCGTTCAGCAAACAAAAAGTCTGGGCACATCTTGTAAACATATCTGAGTTATGACGACAGTTTTAAACCTGGGACCAGACAGATCCCTTTTCCAAAGACAGAATTTGCTGTTTGAGCTGCACAAACAAATGCAGATAGATACGTTTCCACCGGCTGAGTTGAGGTGACCGAACAGGCGTGACGAATGTGTAATTAAATTATGACAGAAGCATTTGTTTGACATTTTTGACTGGTCAGCATTTGGCAAATTGTTAGTGTTCTACATTTAATGTTGGTCACTGTTTGCTGTCTGAAGACAAAAAACAAACCGGCCGCGAGCATCTCATACAGTACGAGACAAACAGAACTACGACATTTATGGGAATGTTTGAGGGACATTTTTCACTTTACATTTTGTTTATCGCAAAATGCTTTGATCAAAATTAAAAAAAGATTTAAAAAATCTCGCCTCAAGTGCAAAAAAAAAGCTTAACAATTCTCAGATTCATCATATTCTAATCTGCATTAAAATAAACCCAGTTATGTGACCGAATTTGAAAAGCACAACAGGCACACTGGAGACTGTCGATGCTCTAGACCGACTGTTACGATGGCACTTTCCTCACAAGTGTAACCGTCAGTGACCTTGTTTTTTGAATGGTGCATCAGCAGCAACGTCAGAAGTGTCAAAAGGTCAGGGGGCAAGAAAGGAAGTCTCGCTGAGTTCACAGGACAGACTCAATGGCTTCTGGCGTAGACCCTAAGGCTTTGGTTTGGTGCGTGACGAGCGGCGAGGTCTCCTCCTCAGCCTGGACATTGGCCACCGCCTCTACCCGGATTTCTGCCAGCTCCCCGTCCTGCTGCTGCTCCTGCTGCTTCTTCATCTCCTGCTGGTTGATGTGGTGGAGGATTCCAGCGCCCAGAGCATCGCCCTCCACGTTCACCACCGTGGTGGTACGATCCCTGTATGCAGAAGAGACAGACAGCTGAGCTCAAACTACCCCTGTTAACGGTATTTTACATTATTGCTTACTTTATATTAATAGTCTGTTAATTGGAGTTAAATGTATAATATATTCCCTGTTATCTGCTATGTGCTGATCTATTTTTTCCCAGTATATAATGCAGAAACAAATGTTTGAGGTAATATATTGGTGTCAATGTAAAGTTTATCCAGCAGAGTGTGTCAAAATGTACAATACTGTGGCAAGCGGCACAGAGTAAGAGAGAAGAAGCAGCTCTCAGCAACTACAATAGGTTGATGATGTATGTTAGAGCCATTTCTAGAAAGCTCTTATACTTTATAAATAGATAGTTTGGCAGTGGTAGTGGTACCTTGAATCTCAAGGAAGGTCTAAATGAAGGCAGGTGTGCTGTAATTAGGGACTAAGAAAGACAGCATGGGGATAATCGCATTGGTTTTTATTATAGTTCTGTTTGATTAATTTGTTTTCCCCACTAATTTAAAAATCTTTGTAAAAAGGCCCAGTCCATGAAAATCGACTCTGTGCCCAGAATTGGAACAACCGTCACCAAGCACGACCCTGATCCAATACTGGACGGCTTCCCTCCCCCAAAAAAATTGGGCTCTGAATAACTGCGTCCAGTTTGGGACTGGAGCAGTTCAAAATATTGGATATATCCCATACAACAACCCATGTAGCTAAATTTCGAATGAGTCCATCCTTTATCAGGCCAGGGCAGAGTGACTCAGGATTTCGTTCTGTGACTTCTTTCTTTATACTCTGTAGTTGAGTTATATTTATTTTGGGCTTTATTTCCTTTGGCTTTGCCTGGTTTTAGGCTTTTTTGTATCCTTAATTTTGGCTTACGTTCTTTTGGGTTTGATTTTGGTTAGGTTTGGGATTAGGGTTAGGGTTAGGGTTTTTGTTTTTGTTTATGACGCGACAGTCAGCAGAGCCACCAACCAACCATCATAGATCATCAAACAGCGAGTAACAAGACAGTGAGTTGATAATACTATGGCATCTGTGGGCAGTTAGGGTTAGAGGTGGCAGGGTCAGACAGTATCAGTGCACAATCCACAAAGGTCTATTTTTCCTTCCAGCTCCACAATTCACTATATTGACCACCATATCAGTCACCAGTCTAAAATCTGTATCAGTCTAAAACATCCCATATCAGTCAGCCTCTAAGATACTCTAAACTAAAAGAAAGCACTACAAGAGTAAAACTACCAGTGAAGGACATTGGTAGAACTGGTTCTGCACAAGGACGAATGTCTTATCTTCATCGTTCAGATGTTTTCTTTCCCACAACATCAGAACAAAAAAAAAAACTTGACCTGAGAGGCACTTTTTAGACTTTTGCACCACCTGAGTCTTGTGTTATGAAGCAGGAATGATCTTTGAGATGTAAAGCATTTGTTGTAACTAGCTTAGCCTGCTGCTGTGTGTGTTTGCTCTGAGCTACTAGTTCCCTTTGTTTTCCACTTGTTGGGAAACCCTGGTCTAGTTTAGCTTGCAGTAATGTTGGCATCGTGTGTGCAGACGTAATTAAAATGTTTGCGTCAGTGGGTTCACAGGCTTTACTCACACAATCCAGTCTACAGCCAGCATGAGGGACAGGTCGTTGGTCGGCAGGCCGATGGCCTCCAGGATAATGGCGATGGTTATGATGCCGCCAGCCGGGATGCCTGCTGCACCAACACTTGAGGCTGTGGCTGTCACCCTAGAAATAATAATAAAGTAATCATATACTGTTGTAACAGTAGGAAAAGAAACACATTATTTTGCTGGTAAATGTGAGAACGAATCTACACATGGATGTGTCTGGTAATAGTTATGTTGATCTCACAGGATGGTGAAGATCTGTCCAGCGTTCAGCTCAGCGTTGTTGAGCTGAGCGATGAAGACAGCGGCGATGCACTGGAATATGGCCGCCCCGTCCATGTTAACAGTGGCCCCGATAGGAAGGATGAAGCGGCTAATGCGTTTGTCCACGCCATTGTTCTCCTCAACACATTTTATCATAGAGGGAAGAGTTGCTGAACTGGTGAGAAAAAGAAAGAGGTAAAGCATTATTGTGTCGTCTTTATCAGCCACTCAGGTGAAACTAATACCTCACATCACCAATTTCGGTAAAGTCAGCGGTTCCTCTGGAAGCCTGCGGTGTGACGGTATACCTGGAGCAGGTGGCAAAGGCAGTGGTGAAGGGCGTGATGAGGCCTGACAGGAAACTGTAGGGGTTCTTGCGTGTGAAGCCGAAGTAGATGAGGGGTAGGACGATGCCTCCGTGGATAATGTGGCCCAGGATTGAAGCAAATATGTATTTTCCCAGACTGGTGACCAGAAGAACCACATCTTCCATTTCAACAATCTTACTGCCCACCAGGAACATGATGCCAAAGGGGATATACCTGAGAGACACAGGAGGGAAGAAGTTACTTAGTATCGTCACAAACCGCTTTAAGATCCCACATTTGTCCGACTTCACTCACCACATGATCCAAGACACAAGCACCATGGTGGCCTCGTTGAATGCGTTGAAGAAACGAATTAGCTCCTCCCCCTCCTCTCCCAGCTTCTTCAGCGCCACGCCAAATACCATGGCAAATAACACCAGACCCAGGATATTCATGCCATCTGTTTCTGTACCAATAGGCACCTAAAACACACAGCAGAGTCAGACTATAGGCGACCGAACTCAGTGAAGAGACTGTGGGAAGGAAAGAGCCTCCTGCCGTGCAGAAGGTTGGACGTCTGAATTTTGAATAAATGAAAATATTTCCATTACTAACATCATACTTAACGAGGAAAATGCTTCTATATATTTATTTGCAGCCAAACAACAAATAAAGGGCCTGAAATGGCCTCCAGACCGGCAGTTTAAGACCCCTGCTTTAAACTCTTCTGACTGGCTATTTAGCAGCAAAGCCAGATTACCTGAAGCTGGCACTGAATACACATTTTGGGTGCTGGTAGTTTCAATGTCTCATGAACTCACACACATTTTGTTAAGCCAGCTGTTTTCTGTTTTACTTTGTATATAATCCCAGCCAGAAACTCACAGGGGATCAAAGGTCGAAGGATCACTAAGTCCTTGGGTTTACGTCCTCTGGGAACCTTCAATATTTGCACGAAGTGTTAATGGAAATAGTCTGGACCACAGTGGTGGACCAACAGCACTGATGCACTGACTCGTGATCCACATGTTTAAAATTTTAAACAAGACTGGTTTTCTTAGACCATCGAACACTTTCACATTACAGCAACTGTTCAATGGACTTGGACCTCATTTGTAGCCTTTCATCCAGTAGATGGAAGCTGGACATGCAGTAGTTTATATGATACCTCTTGCTACAGGGTGGGTGCATAGGTCTGAAGGGCAGCTGAAGGATTCAGTGAACTGAATGACGGATAACGAATAAGGACAGGGACAAATCCTGAGCTCAATCCTCTTCCATTGTCCTGAGCTCTCCCACAGCTCCACCGGCTTCATCCCCTGGCAATCGAAGGGACTGTCCACCATGACCCACGACAGACAAATACCATGGGCCAATGCCAAGATCAGATCCCCCAACTGTTCCCTTATACCGGGTGAGTGGGGACAAATTGTGCCCGCTGAAACTAGATGTCAAACCATAACCCAACCAAATACAAAATTTAGAGCAAGGTCCGGAACTGTTTCTATAAAATGACTGCTCAGAGAAAGCAGGACCAGAAGGTTTCAATATGCTTCAAATGGACCGAAGTTGGTCTACGTATCTGAACTTTATAATGTATTTTTACCCTGAACATGGCTGTGGGTTTTCTTATGTAGTGTCACAAAGAAGGGACCTCCTTATTGTGTTCCATTCCAACACATATATGACATGTGAGTATTGTATAAAGACAAGAGTGTTTGATTAAGATAAACTCTGCAGCCTACATAAGATTTCTTCTGCTGGTATTTGCTCTTTGCATATTTGCACTTGTTGACACATTTAAGAGCAGAGCAGATAACAAAAACAGCTTCTCCCTACCTTTTTTCTTCAGTGCTGTACCTTCAGTGGATTCAAATGCATTTTAATGATCTATTGATCTATTTAAAATCAGACTCTATTGTCTATTAAATCTACTGTCATTGAATTCTTTAAATGAACACATAGCTACTGTAAATTGAGACATTTTTTGTCTTTAAATAAAAAACCATTACCCTTTGACACAGATACAACCTTATTATAATGGCAGTGTAATAAGACTGTATGACCCTGTTTTAACAACCATGTCACTCTTATAAAAACTGCAGCATATATCAACCTTGAACCCATTCGCCCCTAAACCAAGTCATCCATTAGTCTCGCACATAGTGCTCAGAGCAAACATGCTCTTCAAGGGTCAACAGTATAACCTCCTGTTTTTAACTGTTTAACTTGTGTAGACACAGATGAGAGCACTTTTCCTTTCAAAGGTGCAATGTTTAGCATTTTAAGTGTGTGTGAAGGTGTGTGTGTGTGTGCTTCCTGATCCTACCTTTTGATAGAGGGTGGTCCCATTGGTGTCGTTCCCTGCAGCAACCATCTTGTAGTCAGTAGCATACTGCAACATAAAGGAAAGGAAGACTTGAAGTTCATTTTGTTTGATACTGTTCAGTCATACATTTTTCTTTTGTACATTCAAGTGCTGAAATGTGTAGTGTCAACATCGGGTGCTGTTTCCTTTTGAATCAAAGGCCAATAATGTTTCAAGTACACATAATGTAAACTGGAAGTATATGAGTGTGTTTATCTGTTAATGACGCCTTAGTAAACAAGATATCCTGGTTTTTAAAAGATTAATACGTCTGGCTAACAAATTAAAGTATTTTTTATTCATTCGACATCATGTATATAGTTTAATAACCTTTGGTTATGTTTTTAGTAACTCACGCCACTTCCCTCCTTTGGTCCACCGTGGAAGGTCTGCTTGTTGTTCCCTTACAGCTGAATAAAACATTTAAATCACCTGAGGTGTTTTTTTCCACAATCAGTTTCAATTATTCTTTTAGTCATTGGTTCAGTTACTGATCACTAAATGCATCTCTGCAAACCTGTTTCTGATTGGTGTATTGCACTGGGAAATTAATACACACACACTTTGAACATTATTATTAGTATTTAATCCCGATATAGGGAAAAAATATATCATGAGGTACACAAAGTAAAAAACACTTACAAAGGGGAGGGGAAAAGATCAGATGAACTGTGTGTATGAGCGTGGTAGGAACTAATCCATGAGATCGCGACGAGACTGGGAACACAACCCAAGAGGAGAGGTAGAGACCATGGCAGGTTGGCAGGAGGAGCTCTGGACTTGTGATTAATGCTAAGCAGCCATGCATGGGAATTAATTACAATATATATAATTTTAATATTTTTTAGTTTTTCCCTGATTGGTCTAACAAATTCGCTACATTTTAAACTAGTCGCTTTCCAGAATAACATTCCATAAGCATCGTCTGAAAAGTTGCATAAAATCTTAGCGGAAAAAATCACTACCGAAGTTGGCCAACACTGGCTCTCTTTTATGGATCAACTTTGTGTGTGTGTCAGTGCACTGTGTGATGTAGCGCTGGAGTCTGTGTCGGTGCCAACCTCACATTTCCAAACAGTTCAAATGACCCATATTCCATGAGCCCATAAACATAATATTTCATTTCTAATTATACTATCTTATGCTTCTTTTCTCCCCATTTTGTCTGTTTTTGTTTTCATGATTTATAACATTTTTGTATTATAAAACCTTTTTAAATACAGGTTCTAATCTTACATATGCATATGGGGTGTTTTTATTTCCAACCACAAATTCACAAAAAAGGGTGGAAATTAGCAAGCACGATGGAAAAAGAACTGAAAATGACAGTATTAAGAACAGTGTCTGTGCTGAATGGCAGCATGTGTATTTGACGTTGGGGGTGCATTCAGTTTGTACTGAAGGGTTGCAGACATCTTCACACAAGTAAAGCAACCTTTCGAATACAAGGCCTCTCTCTCTCTCCTCCTCTCTCCTCCGTCTCTGCATTTCTGTTTAAGCAGCGCATATGGGATAAAGGTTCCCAAGCTTGGCAATCTTGGCACTTGAAATGGCCTATATGCAACATAGTTCATGGACACGCAAGAGACATTATGTGACCACAGTCCTAAGCAGCATAAAGTAAATCTTACACTTCATTTTTTTAAATTTCTGTTTAAGCATCTAGCTGGCTTTGCATTTTTGTGTAAACTCTCCCGTCTTCTCTATTTCTTGGTTTCAATCCACAGTTGGACCTATTCCACGGGGCTCTACCACAGTATATGCTGGGTGGGTGGGCGGTGAATATTTGAACTCCTATGAAACTGGCTGGCACTTTGAACCTGCCA